CTCTAGCTGCTCGTCCGTGCTCGGGTCGCGAAGCTTGTATGCGATCGTCGCCACCTCCTTCCTCCCCCTGCCCCCACCACCCACCTCCTCCCTCCCTATACCTACCTGCGGGTCTTGGACTTGGTGAAGGTTAACTCGTATGCGTGCACGTCGTAGTCTGGCCACGCCGTCGACTTGAAGCTACCCGTCTCCGTGTACTCTAGCTGCTCGTCCGTGCTCGTGTCGCGAAGCTTGTATGCGATCGTCGTCGTCTCCTTCCTCCCCGACGCGCCCAGCCGGTGACTCACCTGGAAGCGCGTCTGGTAGTTCTGCAAGGAAGCGGAGCGAGAGACACCGGTTACATGGTGTTACATGATGTTGTGTGTTACGTACGTGTTGTGTGATTTGTGTGTATGGTGTGTGTTGTGTGATTTGTGTGTGTGATGTATGGTGTGTGCCGTGTGGTGTGTGTTGTATGTGTTGTATGTGTTGTGTGATTTGTGCGTATGGTGTATGGTGTGATTTGTGCGTGTGGTGTATGGTGTGTGGTGTGTGTTGTATGTTGTGTGTGTTATATGTTACGTGTTACATGTGTGTTATGTGTTATGTGTTTTGTGTTACGTGTAGTGTGTTATGTGTGTTATATGTTACGTGTTATATGTTTTGTGTTACATGTTGTGTGTTATGTGTGTTATCTATTGTGTGTTGTGTTATGTACTATATATGATAATCTGTTATCTGTTGTATGTTATGTGTATGTATTATGTGTTATGTGTTATATGTGTGTTATCCATTGTGTGTCTGTTGAGCACCGGCAAATAGTATTTACTACGAGTATTAGATCTTATTATCTAAGTTTATTGAGATACAACATTGTATTATATTGGTTGTATGTGTATCATGTGTATATTGATTAATATATATCATCAAGAGCATATAAAGAAGGAGAGCGTACAACGGTGAAATGCTGAAACCATGTTGCAGTATTATTGATCAGCTGTCCTACCTTGTTAATACAAAACAAACCGCATGTCCCTACGATGCCCCTACGCTGAGATAATGAGCGGTGAAAATCTGGTATTTTGGTAAACCGACTCGAGATCAGTGTTTTACTGCGACTGTCTCTCGTTTTGTGGACTGTATGTTGCTTCCGGTCGCTGCTGTGTAGCGCTGACTCGATACGTTATTACTACAGCGTTACTATGAATGTGTGTACACATAGTGTATATGTGTGTTGTGTATGCGTGCACGAATGTGTGTACACGTAGTGTATATGCGTGTGTATGCGTGCATGAATGTGTGTACACGTAGTGTATATGCGTGTGTATGCGTGCATGAATGTGTGTACAAGTAGTGTATATGCGTGTGTACGCGTGCACGAATGTGTGTACACTTAAGTGTATATGTGTGTGACATGTGATTCTATCGATGACAGTTCACCTGTTTAAACTGCTTCACATTCCCGGCGACCTCGAACTCGGCTATCGGCGAAGTAAAGGTCATGTCTATGTTCAGCTGCCTGTTCTTACTGTTACCCGACTTTTCCACTTGACCTGTTGAGCAAAGGCAAAATTTTAAACATCTCATGTCAATGTTGAACTAGCTACGGTTACAGTGTGCACTCGTGTACGTCAGGTCAAACAGTCACGTTGGCCAGATAACCAAGAAATAGCAAATGTAACACAAGGATTACGTATTTTCTAAACGGGTGCTTATCATCGAGTGAACTCTATTCACAATTTTCCTCATCTCTATTGACTATGCGAAGAGTGGACGACTGCGTGAAAGATGGCGGAAAAAACACTGTGAAGCAGATTTCATTCCTTAATAAAGTTAACAGAGATTATTACCAAACTTGATAAAAGTACTAATAGCAATCATGACCATACTCGTGCAATGCATTGCATTGTCAAAAACAGCAGCAAAGCGCACACGAAACGCAACGCTCTTTTCGAAATGCGAAAGAGAAAGAAAAAAATCGACTCGAAAGAAAAGAAAACCCGCGCGAACGAACCTCTCAGCGTGATGGGCGTGGCCGTGAGCTCGGTGATTGACAGGTCTACGTCTAGCTTGGCCTCACGCGTGTAGTCCAGCTTGCCCTGCAGAGTCACCTGCGGGCGGTTCGGTGCCTCGAAAACCAGAAACGGACTGAAGCGGACGAAGTCGCCGATCTTCTCCGACTGGAACTGCCCCGTGAGAACGTACTGCGTGTTCCGATCCACTGTCAGCGTCACACTGTGATGTCAATCACGTTGTTCACGATTAGACTCACCATATAGCACCTAACTATACCTGTATTTATCACGCGCGATGTCAATCATGTCATGTTTTTTTCATTATCGTCATTTCATTATCGCTTTTACGCTGATCTCCTTTCCTTGCTTTAATCACGTTATTTCCTTTTGTGTGATGTCGATCATACGTCAGAGATTACTAAGTTCCACATCACTACACTCACAGCTATGCAACGTATCGCGCACACTGTCTGTCATGCATACTCGAACTCTCAACTCTACTCTCGGACGCACGCACGCGCGCCTACCTGCCGCGCTTCAGAGCTGGTTCGTTGATCGCGCTGCCCTCCAGGCCCAGCTTCTTGTACGGACTGCGCAGGTTCGCGCTGAAGGCCAGATCGGCTTGATTGACGACGAGGTCGGTGGTCCACTCGCGGTCGATCGATGATCCGGGTGTGTCCATCGACAGGCGCCCCGTGAAGGTGTTGTACGTCTTGCCGTCCTTGCGCACCTTTCCAATTTAAATTTAATTTAATTTAATTCGATAATAAAATTGAAAACGATTTTTGGGTTCGCTTACCCGCGATTCAAGGATTCGCGATTAAAATCGTTCGATTTTTAGCCATACGTTCTGATTTAGACGTGGGCCTGTTCCAGTGCCCGCTTAAATTCCCCACGGCACATATCTTTGACTAAGTACAACAGGTTAGATAACTCTTAAAATAACTCAGGAGGCTAACAGTCTCTTTCTGAGGTCGGTCACGTATATGCCCAGTGCTGCGAGCCTACCTTCTGTTTCTGCCATCGCGCCTCAAACTGGTAGTCGGTGAAAGTCTTGTCTGTCTTCTCAAGAGTGATTGCAACGCGGCTCGGTCCGGTGAACGGATACCACGGCGCTGCCTCCTGCAAAAATCAAAGGGACGTACAATGCTTAACGCTGCATCGTTTGTTTTGTACAGAAACAGGCAATTTATAGATGATGTCAGCTACTCTCAGTTTGGGACAGAACCTTGCCCACCAAGAATGGACGAAAACGAGAATGTCGTAAGAGAATGCCTACTTCTGTCCCATCAACTAACTAGAGCCCATCATACTTACGACCAAACAAAGGCCAGCAAATCTATCATGAGATTCAACTATACTTCAGCCAGACACTGTGTAAAGACCACGAGTAAAATGTAAATAATAAAATAAAAAAATAAATAATTACATTAAATCAGTATTAATAAAATATAAAATAATTAAATAAGTAATAATAATAAAAGAAATAAATAATAGGTAATATAAATATATAAAATTAAATAATAGTGAGTTAATTAATAAGCGCCTACCTGCAGCGTTGCGTTGGGGAATGCCACCTCTGCACAGAGCTGCATGCCGAGGAAGCGAGCGAGCCGGTCACCCGTGCACAGCGTCTCGTCCGTGCGACCTTCAACCACACCGACGACCTCCACCTCGCCCTCCTGGTGCACGCTGTAGATCTTGGAACTAGCGCCGGGGAAACAACGCGATTGCCGTTAGTTTTCACCGACTCTACTATGTACTGATTATACTTGTTGCTTATATTACATTAATATTTATTAATTACGTTATTAAAGTTAAAAGTTATATAAACATATATATATAGAAGTTATTTATTTAACTTTTTCATTATCGTACTCGGTTAAATATCCGTAGCAAACGATTGCCAATTGCGATTGCCTGAATTGAAAGTTTTTAAATCGCACGAAAGATGACCGCAACTGAACACGAAGGCAGGCAGGCACGATGCCCGCCAGAGGGCGCCGCTGCGCACGCCTCTCCTCCAACCGCGCGCGACTAGCGTCCTCCAGGGGGCGCTCACCTTACGTCGAGGATCTCGAGCTTGTCTCGCGGCATCTTCAGGTCGACGTTGAACACCTCACCGTCCTGCAGCTGCACGCGTCCCTCGATGGCTGTCGACGAATGAAGCGTGGCGACCGTGCGCACACCAGTCCGCGCCACCGTAGCATCCGTCACCATGAGTCCGGCGATCTCCACGGCACCGCTGCATGACGACGATGACGAAGCAGACACACGCGAGCAGACGCCTCGTTATTATTGTTGTTATTGTTATTTATTATTATTATTACTATTATTGTCGTTGTACCATTATTATTATTGCACTGCTGTGTACGACGATGCAAGCAAACAGATGCACTATTATTATCATCATCATCATCATCATCACAATCATCATCATCACAATCATCTTTACTATTATTAATGGCCATCTGGTCGTGAGGGGGTGTAAATTTACGCTCTTTCACCTGGGTAACTGCTCACCTGGGGGGACCGCTCACCTGCATTACCTGCCCACCTAGCACTGTAGCAGACTGCTCACCTGGGTAACTTCCCACCTGGAGGGACCATTCACCTGGGTAAATGCCCACCTGGGGGGACCCCTCACCTGGGTAACTGCCAACCTAGCAGACTGCTCACCTGGGTAACTTCCCACCTGGAGGGACCATTCACCTGGGGGGACCCCTCACCTGCGTTACCTGTCCACCTAGCAGACCGCTCACCTGGGCTTGATGTGGCCGTCGATGTTGAAGCTGCGTGGTGAGATGAAGATCTGGCGCAGGTCGAGCTTTCCGCGGAGGCTGAGGTCGACGGTGAAGGTGCCGTTCAGGGTGAGGTGTATGGGAATACCCGTGCCCGTCGGCACGCGCATCTCCGTGTCGAGGAACATAGAAGACATCGACGCATCGTAGCTGTGTTCCTGGATCATACATGCATACATGAGTAGGTGTGTGTGTGCGTGCATGTGCGTGTGCGTGCGCATGTGTGTAGTTGTAAGTTCCACAGATGACCATTCCATCATCTGATGAACAAACATTAATTTATCGATGAACAAAGTCTCAAATTATGTATGCATATATATACATATAGCTCCTATACGATACGAGAAGGCAAAGACGACGACATCATTGCTTGGGTGTGTGGCTGGCACTGGTGCATACTAGGCAGTTATTTCTCTACCTGATGTTTTTTTTACTCTCAAGAGAGAGTTGAAGTTCCACAAATGACCATTACTGACCATTCCATCATCTGATGAACAAACATTAATTTATCGATAGACAAAAGTCTCAAATTGTGTACACATATATAAATACATGTGCATACACACGTACTTATAAGCTATACACATATATCACAGTGCTCTTACCTTGGCTAGCTCTATCATCATTGAAATCGTGTTAATTTTTCCGAGTTCCTTCAGCGACTCCAAGTCGAAGAAATCAATCTCATTTCCCATGATCTTGTAGTAGAAGCTGCCGCTGGTAGTATCAACCATGCGCGCATCGTACTGTAACGAAGTCACAACTGCTCACCACCCGATATACGCACGGGGGAAGCACGACAGACAGACAGATCGCAAAACAACGGTAAGACATAATATAAGCATAAAGAAATTAAATAAGTTATATAATATATAATATATGAGAAGATATAGAAGCTATATAGCTTCTTATATAGTATAGATATAGTATTCTTTATGTTTATATATATAAACATGAAGAATGCATGCTCTCTTTACCACAGACATGCTCACTTATCTCAAACTCGATTGATCATGGCATAATAATTACGAGTAGTGTCATAATATAGACTATAATATAAGACTATATATATATATATATATATATATATAATATATATATCATAGTCTCTCTACTTGTCCTCTGCTCTCTCTCTCTATTATTATATAATATATATTATATATATATAGACTATATAGCGTCTATATACAGACACTCCTGATATTATCACGTTCATCTCATCTAATAACAGACGTCTACTACTGCACGAGGTTTTCTCGTCATGTTTGCTGAGTGGCGTTGTAGCGCCCTGTGGTGGTTTAGCTTACTGCCTGGTGGAGGCGTGACATCCTGCGATCAGCGATCTCTCCGCTGGACACGGGTTCAGCGATATCGCTGAAGTAGCCTCCCGGTTGGAACATGCTCGCGATCGTACGGTCCAGTCCCTCGACGCGACCTCCGAGCTGCAATCGTTAACGCACGCGCGGGGGGAGAAAACATGAGCGCACTGCGTATACGGTTTCTTTTTTTACGTGCACTTTTCTTGTACCACCCTCAAAAAATACCAACGATTACAAACTGTCCTGGGATTAACAAACGCGCACCCACTATCCCCCCTCCCCCTTCCATACACACACACACACGCCGCACGCGACGCACGCACCACACAGCTGCGTGAAAGGAGAGGGGTATAGCGCATGGGAGGCGAGGAGGTAGGGAGGAGGTAGGGGTAAAGAGAGGTACGCACGCTAGGAAGGCGAAGGGAGGCAGGGGGAGGGATGAGGGAGCGGTGGAGCGTAGGGAGGGAGGAGGCGGTATCCGCGCAGGGGAAGGAGGGAAGGAAGGAGAGATGGAGGCAGATAGGGAAGGAGGGGGTATCTGCACAAGAGGAAGGAAGGAAGGAGAAGGCCGAACCTACCTCGAACAGGTTTACGGAGCTTCCAAACACGTACACGCTGGAAGGAAGGAGGGGGTATCTGCGCAGGGGAGGGAGAGAGGGAGAAGGGAGGCAAGGGGGGAAAGAGAAGGGCGAGCCTACCTCGAACAGGTTGAGGGAGCTTCCGAACACGTCCACGCTGACGTTGAGCATGCCGCTGCGAGGTAGGAACGAGTCTCGGCTGAAGATGGTGTGTGCCTCGACGGAAGCCCCGCTTTGCAGCAACGGAGAGAAGAACGAACCTAGACAACAACGACATACGTGCGCGTGTTAGAGGTTAGAGACACAAACAGGTCTCCGTCGTCACTGCTACAGGGCGTCAGACACAGTAAACCAAGAGGCCTGTGTCAGGACTAACAAGGTGTGAGACCTGGTGACAGACCTGGTGTGTGAGAGTGGTAGAAACAACGGAATCATCCGTCCATGCTGAGAGCTAAACGCACCTTCGTTCGATCGCGCATCGCATACAGAAATAACGGCTCATCCGTCCACCCTGAATGTTTCACGTACGATCGTCCATCCTACCATGAATGTTTCACGTACGATCGTCCATCCTACCCTGATGAATGTTTCACGTATGAACGTCCACCCTACCCTGAACGTTTCACGTACGATCGTCCATCCTACCATTAATGTTTCACGTACGATCGTCCATCCTACCATGAATGTTTCACGTACGATCGTCCATCCTACCCTGAATGTTTCACGTACGACTACGATCGTCCACCCTACCCTGAACGTTTCACGTACGATCGTCCATCCTACCATTAATGTTTCACGTACGATCGTCCACCCTACAATGAGAGTTTTCACGTACGATCGTCCATCCTACCATGAGAGCTTTCA